AATTTAAGATTAATTAATGAGAAAGAGATTAAATTTGTCTTCAGTTTAGTAGTATCCTAACTTGGAGTCACTGTCTAAGTAAATTATTGTGTTTTTTCTTTCTACGCCAACAATTTACGTGGCGATGATTAAGTCAATAGACTCAATACTCGGAAACTTACATAATTATTTTTCCTATAAATTTAGTTAATTTCTTCTTGAATTGGTTCTTACAGTTATCTACTATTCCCTTGTTTGTGAGTATGGATGCAAGATTGCTTTTGGTTACTCAATCGGGTAGTGTTGATGCTTTATATTCTCTTATTCAACAGCATCCATGTATTCTTCAAAACGCAGACGTTTTACCTATCATGCACACACCTCTCCATGAAGCTTCAAGTATGGGGAAGATAGATATGGCAATGGAATTGATGGTTCTTAAGCCATCTTTTGCCAAGAAATTAAACTCAGATGGGTTTAGTCCTTTGCATCTTGCTATCGAAACCTGCCAAGCTGAGTTAGCACTAGAGCTAGTTAAGTTTGATCCGAGTCTTGTTCGTATCCATGGAAGAGGAGGTATATTTGCTTCAAAATCTTTATTTTTTGTACTGTCTCGAATATTTTTCTATTAGGCTAACAAAATATGTGTAAAACATATAAATGACAGGTGTGACACCATTTCATCTTGTGGCGAAAAACGGTGACGTAGATCTTCTTACAGAGTTTCTTCTGCTATGTCCTGATAGCATTAGAGATGTGAATGTAAATGGCGAAACCGCATTACACATCACGGTAATAAACGATAGGTACGAGGAGCTCAAAGTTCTCAGAGGGTGGTTGCAATTAATGCGCAATATTCATGCTTCATCCACCGAGAATCACGTCCTCAATAAACGTGACCGTCAAGGCAACACGGCCTTGCACCTAGCCGCATACAAAAATAATCACCAGGCATGTTCTTAATTACCCTTTTTTTTGTTTTGCTAAACTTCTTAATTACCCTTTTTCTATGAACTTTTAACCTAATTATTTAAATGGTTGATCCTTAATCATAATTGTTAAGGTGTTTAAGTGATTTGATCCACAATCACTGTTATAGTAGTACAATCGAGTTATAGTTTTTTTTCTTCTTATCCTCTATATATTAATTGAAGAGACATTTGATGAAAAAAATTATGTGTCATTTAATAAAGATTTTAAAGGACATATCAATTAAATTAACCAACTAAAATATTTCAATTAAGTCTATATACCATGTTAAAATCTCTACATATTTGCATTAATTTTTAACATGAATTGACAAATGCATGTGTGA